ATAATGATAATAAAGAACCATAAAGAAATACAAATTGAAAACAAAATTAGTGAGAAACAATATACAGTATATACGTTGTGTTGTCAATAGTAAGAGAAACAATTGAGACCCTGCAATTGTGTGTAAATGAAGCAAAAAGTCAGATCAGCAACCTGGGACTTGGTCACATATGGCAGCAGGGTCTACCATAGACAACATATTATGCTTCCAATATCTTCCCAGGCGGTAGTACCTCCCTGTTTGGTAGCTGCCTAATACCTAGTGATGATGGATGATGTTATATGTAGTGATGATGGATGTTGTTATATGTTGTGTTGATGGGTGGTGTAAAATGTAGTAGTGCTAATGGATGGTGTTATATGTAGTAATGATGGATGGTGTTATATGTAGTGATGATGGGTGGTGTTATATGTCGTGATGATGGGTGGTGTTATATGTAGTGATGATGGGTGGTGTTATATGTCGTGATGATGGGTGGTGTTATATGTAGTGATGATGGATGTTGTTATATGTGTATGTGTTCTGGGTATCAAGTTCTATCTACAGGAACGAACACAAACACCTGAAGAGTTTCGTAGGTTCTATTTACTGGATAAACAGATATGTACACAAGGGAGGTGGAGCTCCTTACTCTGTATGGGGGTCAACTAGTCTCTAGGTGACATGTGGTGAGTGATACATTAGCAGCTTCCATATGTCGCCAGGCACATTAATTAAGCATGTGGGACATGGTAAATACATTGCCACACGCTGCTAGCTGGGCTGAATAAATAGTGTATTTAAATGGAGCACATTCATAATATACATACAGCATACATAATATACATACATAATACATAATATACATACAATATGTTATATGGGTGGTCCCCTACAATCCTCTTTTGAGTAAAGCATTCAATGCGCACATCAATGTGGAGTAATATAATTCAGTCAAGTCCATCAAGTATGTTTGCAGATTCGTCAACAAAGGCTCTGACCAAGCGATCTTTGCATTGGAAAAGGATGGAAATCATGATGAGGTGACACAGTTTCAGCAGGGCCTATATATATGCAGCAATGAAGCCCTATGGAGAATTTTTAGTTTTCCCGTACACGAACGATGTCCAACAGTAGTTCATCTGGCTGTTCACCTGGAAAATGGACAAAGAGTATACTTCACAGAAGAGTCTCTACAAAATCAAATGGCAAATCCTGCTGATGCGACTCTCACTACATTCTTTAAGCTTTCACAGGAAGATGAGTTTGCTCAAACACTCCTGTATGTTGACGTACCCAAGTTCTACATATGGCAGGCTTCAATGAAAAAGTTCCAGAGAAGATCTCAAGGATCCGATGTTGAAGGATATCCAGGGATAAAGTCAGGCAATGCTTTGGGATGTGTCTACACGGTTCACTCCAACAAATTTGAATGCTATTGTTTGAGACTACTTTTGCAACACATCCGTGGCCCAACATCAAATGTAGCACTCAAGACAGTAAACGGACAAGTCTGCAGAACCTATCAGGAAGCGTGCAATCTCCTTGGCCTATTGGAAGATGATAGTCACTGGAATGACACATTAGAAGAGGCAGCAGCTACTCAATCGCCAGCGAGAAAGAGGAACCTGTTTGCCATCATGATTGCTACATGTCGACTTTCCAACCCAAGCCAGCTCTGGAAAAACCACCAAGAAAGTCTTTCAGAGGATCTGCTTCATCAAGCAAGAAGAGAACATCCTGGTCAAGAGATTGAGTTCATGGATGACATGTTCGACAGGGCTCTGATCATGCTGGAAGACAAAGTGATGGAGCTATGCGGGAAAATCCTGATTAATTTTGGATTGCCTTCCCCAAACCGAGAAGAACCAGTAGCTGAAAAAAGGGAGTTGCTCAGAGAGACAGACTACTCAGTTAAAGTTCTGGTGAATTTTGTTGAAGAAAATGAGCCTCACCTGGTGAGGCTCATGAATAGATCTTGCAAGCGATACAAGCGGAGCACGGAGGTATGATCTTTCTTGATGCACCTTGCAGGACAGGAAAAACATTCTTGATCAACCTTCTGTTGGCCAAAGTACGTCATCAGGGGAAAATTGCTCTTGCTGTGGCACCCTCAGGCATTGCTGCAACACGATTAGAAGGAGGACGTACTGCACACTCAATTTTTAAACGGCCTCTCAACCTCTCTCACAATGAGAATCCAGTGTGCAACATCAAAAAAGGATCGGCAAAGGCAAAACTCTTAGAAAAATACAGCCTCATAGTCCGGGATGAATGCACTATGTCTCACAAGTTAGCGTTTGAAGCATTGGACAGGACCTTGCAAGACATACGAGAAAATGACCAGCTCATGGGTGGCATTACAATGGTCATTGCTGGAGACTTTCGTCAGACCCTACCTGTCATTCCTCGAAGCACTCCAGCTGATGAATTGAATGCGTGCCTCAAGGCATCATACCTTTGGAGAAGTGTTCAGACACTCGCCCTATCCACAAACATGAGAGTACATCTACAAGGAGATCAGAATGCTGGACGGTTTGCAAACCTTTACTACAGATTGGGAATGGAAATTCTCCTGTAGATTCAGAAGGACAAATAATCATTCCTCAAGGATGTGGAAATGCTGTAAAGTCCTCAACTGAGCTAACTAAGATGGTCTACCCAAACATTATCCACCACTAGAAGGATCACTAGTGGCTGCGTGAACGCGCAATTCTGGCACCAAAGAATGAAACAGTGGCTGAAATCAACATGACTCTACTCAGACAGCTTCCAGGCAGTGAGACCTCATTCAAATCTGTTGATACAGTAATCGACCAGGACCAAGCAGTCCAGTACCGTGCAGAATTCCTTAATTCTTTGGAGCCCGCTGGAATGCCTCCTCACCACCTCACTCTCAAGATTGGAACTCCTATAATGCTCTTAAGAAATCTTGAACCACCAATCCTCTGCAATGGCACAAGACTGGTGGTGAAGAACATGATGCCACATGTACTGGAAGCTACAATACTGACAGGAAAAGCTAAAGGAGAGGACGTTTTTATACCAAGGATACCTCTCATCACCACTGACCTGCCATTTGAGTTCAAGCGACTTCAGTTCCCGGTTAAAGTGAGCTTTGCCATGACCATCTACAAAATCCAGGGACAGTCCATAAAGATGGTTGGCCTAAACCTGGTGATTCCTTGCTTCTCTCATGGACAGTTCTATGTTGGATGCTCCAGAGTGGGAACTGGCAAAAATCTGTACATACTTGCTGCTAATGGCAAAACCAAAAATGTGGTCTACCTTAATGCACTACAGTGAGACAATGTGTAGCCTCCCGGAGGGTAGCGTCCTACCGTGGCCGAGCGAAAGAGCGATTCCGCTAGTATATATATATATATATATATATATATATATATATATATTTCATAAGCCTAATAAGGCACGCGGACTTCTACATACAATCAACACCTCAACCCGCAAGGATTCGAACCCACGGCACACAAGCCTATGACTGTGACCGGGGAACGCTAACCGCTGGACCACCAGAATACTAAAAGCAGTCCTAGACTTTGTTATATTTCACACAAAGCCTGTTCAACGAGCTTATGGCGCCGTGAACCTCTAATGGGGACCACCCGTATCACTTAGGTGGTCAGAGTAACGTTTTACCAAATCCGGCTTCGAAACACGAGGATCCATATATATATTTCATTAGCGCCATAAGCTCGTTGAACTGGCTTTGTGTGAAATATAACAAAGTCTAGGAATGCTTTTAGTATCCTGGTGGTCCAGCGGTTAGCGTTCCCCGGTCACAGTTATCGGCTTGTGGGCCGTGGGTTCGTGGTAGGAAGGCTGAGAAATTAATTAGGAGCGAAGACGTGATCGCATTAATGGAACGAAGAGACAGGTAGAACCCCACAAGAGAAGCATCACCCAGAGCAGCCAATGACAACAGTAGCCAGAGAATATCACTTTAGTTCTGCAAAAATTAGTCCCAGTCTCTAAAAGCTTCACGACAGAGAAGACAATGTTCGTGAACAAGTACTTTAATGACATAATTCCGAATAAGATCAATCCATTCTTTTCATACGAGGCAGCCTTGAATGCTATGACAAAATAAGTAAGCAAAATCAAATCCCTCATATTTTGTGAAATCATTCGCAATCTTCTGAACAGAACAGACGTGTTAACTTCTTCAGTACGATGAAGTAACCCCTCCAGTATGATGACTTAACTTCTTCAGTACCCTAATTTTTGCCCTTGAGTTGGATGACTTTAACCCTTGAATACGATAATTGTACCCATTGAGTACGATGACTTTACCCCTGAGTATGATTAATTAATCCCTTGAGTAAGGTGTTATCATATTCAATGGGTAAGTCATCATATTGAGAGGGTTAAGCGTCCACTGGGAAACAACCTCACTACTAACACCAAATGATATAAGGGGGCAACTAAGGTTAAGAGACGAAATTTGACGAAAATGAGACAATACTCTAAAAAATTGCGCCAAAACGCATGTGAAACGTATAGAAAATATCGAGTTATATTTCAATTATTATATATTTTTTTAATGGACGGGGTAGTGGGGGCGGAGTGGTATTTAAATCTGAAGTAATATGAAGTGCTCTATAATCGGTTACTTATTAAAAAAAATCATATATCTTTTTATAATCCCATCGGAGGAGGAGGGGATATAATACTCACCATGTGGGTGTGCCTTTGTTTGTCTACCTGTATATAATCATATTCAAATGTCTATAATGAGAAAATCTTTGAAAATCAACTCGTCAACATATCAACTGAGGTTCAAATCGTTCAGTGCAAATATTGTATAGGTATAGTGAATGTGATTGCGATTTTCATCTACAAATTCTACTTATTAGAAACATTATCACTACATTATCATCGCATTCATAGTAAATAATATTACAAGACTGTTAGCAATGTTTATTAGACTATAGTGATTGGAAGTATAATTTGGAATATGAGATGTAACATATAATCATTTTATGTTCCTCACTTTGTTCCAGCCGCATGTGATATGTCAAGATGGTGTCGGTATTAACGCCACTGTTCATCCTCGTTTTCATTGCCATCTTGACTATGGCACAGTTGAAGGCACCAAAGAGTAAGTAAACAAAAGACGTGTTTTAACTAAAGTACGTTATTTTCGTCGATAATTCCCATTCTTTCCCTGCCCGCAGAGACAGCGAGGCAGGGTTGTGCTTTCAATCTTTTCTAGTAACTGTATGTATCTATATACTGTATATGTATGTATGTATGTATGTATGTATGTATGTATGTAGTGGGCAGCTACCAAACAGGGAGGTACTACCGCCTGGGAAGATATTGGAAGAATAATGTGTTGTCTAATGGTAGATCCTGCTGCCATATGGTATCACGAAAACTGTGACCAATTCCCAGGTTGCTGAGCTGACTTTCTGCCTCATGTACACACAATTGCAGGGTCTCAATTGTCTGTCTTAATACTGACAACACAACACATATAACCGTACTCACTCTTGATATGTTTTATTCTTTCTATTCTTTCATTCTTCTGTGATATCAGTTGACAATAATATTAAAGCGGGGCCTTCTCGAATGGGTCACACAGGTCGGGAAGGTTGTGGACCCCAGGGCCGACCTGATCATCATCAAACTACTGGGGCTTCAACTGACGTCACTGCGGTTGCTGGAGGATCGGCTTTTTTCACACTTCATTTTTCCAACATTCGCGGCCTGAGATCCAATTTTCCTTCCGTGGAGCACCATCTACTAACTTCATCCCCCGACCTCTTACTACTATCTGAACTTCAACTGACCAAAGCATCTTCACCCAAACCTTTTCAAGTCTCCACCTACAACTTTTTAAACCTCCTTCCGTTCTAAGGGAGGTGTATGCTCGACTCACGGATTTTGAATCTTCTCTTTATGATGTTATCTGGTTCAAAATATCTCTGCCTGCTAAGACTATTTTCCTTTTTTCCTATACTGTTCTTCCAACTCTACTACCAATAATTTCGAACTCTTTGACTATCTCACTTCTTGCCATGAGTCGTTGCTATCCACACACCCCAACACCGAGATCCTCTACCTAGGGGATTTCAATGTTCATCACAGAGAGTGGCTTGACTCTGTAAGGGATGACCCAGGTGGAGCTGAGGCACTCTCTTTTTCCTTACTTAATAATAATCTGGAACAAATAATTAAACATCCTACACGCGTTCCTGATCAACACGATCAACTTGCGAACATTCTTGATCTTTGTTTTACCTCTAACCCCTCACACCATTCATACTCAATTTCTGCCCCCTTAGGGTCTTCTGATCACAATCTTATTTCTATTAAATCATACTGGGCACGACCACCTCCCCATCCCCCCTCTAAACGTCAACTATGGCACTATCGGAGGGCAAACTGGCAAACCTTGCGAGAATTCTTCTCCGTTTTCCTTGGGATGAATGTTGTTTTTCCACTCGGGACGCCTCGGTATGTGCTGACAGCATTGCTGGTGTGTTACGAGGTGGTATGAGTGCATTTATCCCGTCCTCTACCAAAACTTTCACTCTACAATCATGGTTTGATCGTTCCTGTTCTCTTGCATGTAGGGAGAAAGATAGGGCTAAAGGGCATATCAAGTTATGAAACTATCTCCTTCTCCTATTACCCACTCCTCTTTCATTACTTATAGGAATCGTTGTAATGCTATTCTTCGTAGGGTCAAGTGGAATTTAAAAAAAAATGAAAGACCGCTGTCCTGACTAACTCTTCTTCTAGTAAATACTTCTGGTCCTTAAACAAAATCATCTGCAATAACTTCAGCACTCCCCCTTTTCTTCCTCTCTTCCGACCTGATAACTCTATAGCCAACTCTCCCCCTGATAAAGCCAATCTCTTTGGCATCTTATTCTCCTCTAACTCAACCTTAGACGATTCTAACTCTATCCCTCGTACTCCTGCTGTTCCTACTGAACCTACGCACTTCCCTATAATCTCTACTCGTAGGTTTGCTGGTGTGTTATCCAGGTTGAATGTGAGTAAAGCTCACGGACCGGACAGAACATCCGCTCGTGTTTTGAGAGAGTGTGCTGAAGTTCTTGCCCCTGTGTTTGCTCGCCTCTTTCGCCTTTGCCACAAAACCCAAACTTTTCCTTCTTCTTGGAAGCATGCCTCGATTCAGCCCAGCCCATCCTGAAGAAGGGTGACCATTCCAACCCCTCTAACTAACGCCTCATTTTCAAAACTATTTTAAACTCTCATTTTCTCCGTCACCTTGAACTCTATTCTCTTTTATCGGATCACCAGTATGGCTTTCGCCAGGCGAGATCTACTAGTGATCTGCTCTCCTACTGCACCCATCTTTGGTCATCCTCTCTTAGGGATTATGGGGAACTTTCGTCGTGGCTCTCGACATCTCCAAGCCATTTGACAGGGTATTACACTAGTCTTTGCTTTCTAAACTTTCCTCTTGTGGTTTCCTTCCCCCACTTTGTTCTCTAATTTCTAGCTCCCTTGAGAAACGATTCATGGCAGTTGTTGTCGGGGTATCAAACCTCTCTGTCTTTCTCTACCTAGCGGTGTCACACAGGGTTCTGTTCTTTCACCTACTCTCTTCCTTCTTCTCATCAATGATTTACTTCACACTACAACTAATTCTATCTATTCTTACGCTGATGATTCTACTCCTCACTCTTCTTCACATTTTCCCTTCCCCCTAATTCTCAAACTAGATCTGGGGGGAATAAAATTGGTTAAATTCGATTGTAATAAAACTCAGTATTTGCGAATTACACTTTTCAAATTAGGTGATCACATTTCAGGACGCAATCATTCTGCCGAATTCTAAAATAGATATGCTAGGCCTCACCATTTACTCTAATATGTCATGGAAGCCACACATCCTCAACATTGCTAAAGCTGCCCCCCGAAAGCTGGGAATGTCTTATAGATGCCGCAGCTACTTCACTCTTGAGCAGTTGCTTCAAGTGTATAAGGGATTCATTCGCCCTAACTTGGAGTTCTACTCTCACATCTGGGATGGCTCTGCTTCTGTCCAACTGTTAGATAGGGTGGAATCAAAGGCATTTCGTCTTATTAATTCTCCTCATTTTGTTGATTTTCATTCTTCTCTTTCTCTTCGACGCAATATTGCTTCACTCTCTCTTTACAGGTACTTTAACGGGCAATGTTCGGTGGATTTGGTATCTTGTGTTCCGCCGGCAATGCCGTGGGCTCGTAACATTCGTTTTGCCCGCGGTGCCCACCGTTCCTCTGTGGATGTCGATCACATTAGAATAACCCATTAAAGTTTATCGTTCTTTCCTCACACAGCCAAACTGTTAAATGCTCTGCCTTCTTCTGTAATTCCATACTCATACAATCTGTCTCACTTCAAAAAACTGGTTTTCCGACATCTTCGTGGTGTAGATTAATATAACCTTTTCCTTTTCCATCTTAATTTCTTTCTATTCTTATATTTTCGCCCCTCCTAGGCCCCGTTGTGGGTCGATGACCTGTGCCCAGATGGGCTATTCCCCGTGAAAAAATTATTTGTATTTATTTGACAAGGTCCACATGATTAACTCGTGGTGAAAATTGCGCCAAAAATGATCAGCTGGTAATAGTTCACCGAATGATAAGATATAAGTTTTTCTGCGGTTACAGAAAAAAAAAATGAGTCTCCACTGGTGACTTTAATTACTTGCAAAAGAGTCACTAGTTCAATACTTATATATCTTTTTTTGGTTAGCCCAGTGCTCGCCCGCCTCTCCTGACTAATTTACATTATTTTCTAGACTAATTTTTCACCTTACTTTTTAATGCAGCTTATCATAACGGCCCACAGCGACTGCATGACAGGGTATTGTCCTCGGTTCTGTGTATGATGATGATGATGATGATGATGATGATGATGATGATGATGATGATGATGATGATGACGACGACGATGATGATGATGATGACGATGATGATGATGACGATGACGATGATGATGATGATGACGATGACGATGACGACGATGACGACGATGACGATGACGATGACGACGACGATGACGACGACGACGACGACGACAATAATAATAATAATAATAATAATAATAATAATAATAATAATAATAATAATAATAATAATAATAATAATAATTAACGGTTTATTGAAAAAGTTCTGCAGCCCGAAGGCTGAAAATATACTTTGGACAAAATGACTTATTACATACAAAGACATGGGGTGGGTGGGTCGTTTAACAAAATCTTTCATTACTGAAAGAAGAAGGAACATGAATTGAACATACAAATTATTATAGTTTGCAGTTGAGGGCCCGGGCCTGGGCTAGTCATGGAAACATCGGGTGGTGTGGTGTTCATGTGATGTAGTAACTCGTCCTCGGGTGTTGATATGAAGGACCTCACGTGGCCATGGAAACATCGGGTGGTGTGGTGCTCACATGGTGTAGTAACTCGTCCTCGGGTGTTGATATGAAGGACCTCACGTGGTCATGGAGACATCGGGTGGTGTGGTATTCACGTGGTGTAGTAACTCGTCCGTAGGTGTTGACATGAAGGACCTCACGTGGTCATGGGGACACCGGGTGGTGTGGTGCTCACGTGGTGTAGTAACTCGTCCGAAGGTGTTGATATGAAGGACCTCACGTGGTCATGGGGATACCGGGTGGTGTGGTGCTCACGTGGTGCAGTAACTCATCCGTAGGTGTTGACATGAAGGACCTCACGTGGTCATGGAGGCACCAGGTGGTGTGGTGTTCATGTGGTGCAGTAACTCGTCCGTAGGTGTTGACATGAAGGACCTCACGTGGTCATGGAGGCACCGGGTGGTGTGGTGTTCACGTGGTGCATGAAGGACCTCACCCATCACCGGGTGGTGTGGTGTGGTCACTCGGTAGTGCAGGCCCGCTCGTGGTCATGGGGACACCGGTGGTGTGGTGTCACGTGGTCACTCGTCCGTGTGTGAAGGACCTCACGTGGTAACGTGGTGCAGTAACTCATCCGTAGGTGTTGAAGGACACGTGGTCATGGAGGGACCTCACGTGGTCATGGAGGCACCGGTAACTCGTGGTGTGACCTCACGTGGTCATGGAGGCACCGGGTGGTGTGGTGTTCACGTGGTGCAGTAACTCGTATGATGTTGAAATGAAGGACCTCACCTAGTCATGGAGGCACCGGGTGGTGTGGTGCTCACGTAGTGCAGTAACTCGCCAGTATGTGCTGATATGAAGGCCCGCTCGTGGTCATGGGGACACCGCGTGGTGTTGCGTGGTGTCACAGTACTTCACTCTGTTGGGTGGTGCTGTGTTATCTCGTAGTCAGGTGTGAATCCGACCCACTGATGTTGCTATGGTGGACTGATTAGCACCTCCTGGTCAGAAGATGGTGGTCAGTTCCCAAGGGTGCTTATCTCAGTGGTGGGTCACTGATCTCACTGGTACCGTCTGGTGCTGAATTCACTGGCTTAAACACTGTTCAACACTGATCCCACTTCTTTGTGAAACGAAATTGTCACTTTTGATTAAGTTGATATCCCGGTGGTGAGGATGGGTCGGGGAGAGGGACTTGGGGAGTGGGGCTGAACATGGCCAAGGGGAGCCACTGCTCAGCAGCGCCTGGTAGGTCTTGACCCTCTGGTGGTCAAGGATGTATGTGCGTGTGTGTGTGTGTGTGTGTCAAATATACTCGAAAAAGGGTTGACGGGTTTTTACCAATTTCTTTTATATGAATGAACAGTGACAAGGTCCATTTTATTAACATTTGATGCATATAGAGCTAAAATTGACAGAGCGTTACCATGGTAACGTTTCGTACAATGATGGCAGAAAAGGTTTTCGGGATTTAAATTGGATGATCTGAAGCTCATTGGTGTTAAACCTGTTGAGAAACAATCATACTCGTCCGAGCACAAAAGGTGTAAAATTTCCTCATGGTGTTATACTTATTACAGATGAGGCTAGGTCAGCCGGCAAGGTTTGTATCCCTTACTTTATATTTAATTGCTTCAACCTATAATATTGAATGTATTTAGAAACAGGTATATCTGTGTTGTGTGTCACTATGTACTTTCGTCTGTCATCGTCAGTTTGTGTTCAATGTCTCGAAACTGAACTTTCCAGGTCTTCATAACACTGAAGCTGTAAGTGTGAATATGGATAGTTTATATTTGAGTATTGTGACAGTTTTTGTTTTGTTTTGGTCACTCTTCAAACTTTGCCACGGGGTTAAAATTTATATATTGGATGACCGGTCTTCTGATTTACTTTTTATTTCTTTTATTCGATAGTGGAGAGTGAATCGCTGTCATTAGCAAATGAGGTGGTGGAAGCTGTGATGTCAAGAGTGTCTATGCTCCACTGCACCGTCCTTTTCTTCACAGATGCCACCACGTCGTCTACCACTTTCTTCAATGTAGGTTATTTCTGAGCATCAGTGTTAAAACAATCTTTCGGTCTATATCAAGTATTTACCGAAATTTTTTTTTAACTTTTATGAGCAAAACCATAGGAGTCTCCTTCATAAACCAGTGCACACAATGTTTGGATTTTCCATCCAACCTTTCGTCTTTCTAATTCAACAAAGTTGTGCTCATCTTCTACAACAGTTATGGTAACAGCTTCTGGAGCTTGGTATACTGATTTTGAAGGGATTTGATATGTAAGCTAGTGTACCATGTATCATGGCCACTAATAACTAATCCTCCACTTTCAGCAGTGCTCCAACTCCTAGGCTTATTAATCAGACTTACATTCTGAAATTACAACTTTGGTTAACAGACAAGACATTTGAAGCTGAATGACATTTAGTAGAATTACATTGTGAGAATACACCCAAGGAACCTATCCATTTTATCGCTAAAATTGAGTCAGAACTTTAAGAAATACTAATTTATAATAATCAGCACTCATTATATTTACTATAAAACAATAGGACAGACATTAACACTGCATAGTCCTGTGACCCAACTAATTCATTAGGTTGCCTATATTAATCTCACAATACAGCTCTTCCTCCGTTCACAAAAGAAGTATCACTAAATACTCACTCATAATACTGGTGAATACATTAATGCCAAAATATAAGATAAATAATGGATAAATAAGATTACAGTCACTTTCCTGGTTTCTCACCCATCAGAATGTTAACTCAAAACTTCTTTATATAAATGCATAATACTATATGAATACAAAATATTAGAAATTACATAGAACCAATATACTTCGCTCCCGATGCAAAAAATCAATTAGTTATTATAAGGAAACAAGAAAACACGGTTGTTCGCAGCATATACTTGGATCACGCGCACCTTTAGTGATATATATATATATATATATATATATATATATATATATATATATATATATATATATATATATATATATATATATATATATATATATATATATATATATATATATATATATATAATCAACGACCTCACCAGCCAGGAATCGAACCCTCGACCTACTGGGTGGGACTAGGGAACGCTACCGACCAACCCACAAGGACACTAAAAGCAGTCCTAGACTCTGTTATATTTCACACAAAGCCTGTTCATCGAGATGGCGCCGTGATGGCGCCGTGAACCTCATTGGGAACTGCCCATGCCTCGTATGTGGTGTCAGTAGCATTTTACCGAATCCAGCTGGTATGAAACGCGAGGTACATATATATACTTCATTTTTAGTCCATATAACACGCGGACTTTGAACATATAATCAACAACCTCACCAGCAAGGAATCGAACCCTCGACCTACTGGGTGTGACTAGGAACAGCTACCGACCAACAGCTGGATTCGGTAAAATGCTACTGACACCACATACGAGGCATGGGCAGTTCCCAATGAGGTTCACGGCGCAATCACCTCGATGTACAGGCTTTGTGTGAAATATAACAGAGCCTAGGACTGCTTTTAGTGTCCTTGTAGGTTGGTCGGTGGCGTTCTCTAGTCCACCCAGTAGGTCGAGGTTCAATTCTAGCTGGTGAGTCGATAATTATTTAAATCCGTGTTATATAAAATCGGTTCGGTCTGTGGTCATTATGTTCAAAGTCGGCGTGTTATATGGACGAAAAATGAAGTATATATATATGCAAGTAAATCACTGTAGAGTACGCATGATCTAGGTATATGCTGATAACCACAAAGAAAACTCATGCACTGTTAAACAAATGCTAATCAAGAACTCCCCAACAACACTATTGGTTGCATTTATAAAGTTCCATGCAAGGAATGTAATATGTTTTACTTAGGCCAGACAGGTAAAAGATCTTGTAACTAGACTTAAACAACATAAATATAGTGTTAGGACAGGCCAGGAATCCAATGCTCTGTTTGTTCATTTTGAGGATAACAAGCATTGCATTGACTGGATAATGCCTCCTCAATGTTACCTTGTAATTCAATTGATAGTAGGAACATCATAGAATCTAGTCTCATTAAACATACGAAGCATTCAACATGAATTTGAGTAATGGCATGTACAAACTGGACAATTTTGTAATTAAGAAGATTTGTAACCAGGTGAGAACGTTGGGTCTACCCTCTGACCTGACTACCGACCGTTGCGGTGCTATTTAAAGATTAGTAGGGCCATTACCTACATACCATTGTGGACCTGATCTCACCCTCCTCTGTACCTTGTTTTGTACTTCTCCTTAGTCTGTACTCACCCCTGAAGCGCTTAGGAACTTCGTGTTTTCTTCTTTCCTTGTAGTTATCATATATATATATATATATATATATATATATATATATATATATATATATATATATATATATATATATATATATATATATATATATTATATATATATATATATATATATATATATATATATATATATATATATATATATATATATATATATATATATATATATATATATATATATATATATATATATATATATATATATATATATATATATATATATATATATATATATATATATATATATATATATATATATATATATATATATATATATATATATATATATATATATATATATATATATATATATATATATATATATATATATATATATATATATATATTAATAACTTCAGCAATGGACTTGTTACGTGGAAAGCGTAGTTTTATAATGAAGAGGAGAACCAGGGTAAACACAAACATCTTGAAGTAGGGCTTCGTTTAATTGCTAACGTTTCGGAAATAATCCTTTTCCATCATCAGAGCCTAAAAAGTTTTGAAAAAGTTTAAAAATACAGGTGATATACAATAAAAACATAATATTATACGAAAATTTACCTGCGATAAACTTCAAAAATTTAAAAAAGAGCAATCCAATTCAAAACCGACAAAAATGACGAGACCTACATACAAAGGTAAAGTCAGGAATAAAAAGTATGAAATAAAATGTACAGGGGGTATTACCTTAATTCAGACGAGCCTTAATGTGAAAAACATAACAATTCACTAGAGGCCATATCACAAGGCGATGGCTTTTCTTTGTACTGGTGTAATGCCTCCATAATGAGGAGGTCTGTATCACAGTCGCTGTTGCCAAGAACTGAGAAATCAGATGGCGAAAACGGGTGGTCATGTTGGTGGGCGTGGTTACGAATAGCTGAATGTGGTGGTTGTGTTATTAAATGGCCTGTTCGAACGGAACGGCCCAAGTGTTCATGGATGCGAGTTATCAAATGTCTTTTAGTTTTACCTATATATGCTGCCCTACAGCTAGCACACGTAAATTGATAAACAACTGAGGATTGCAGGTGTGTGGGTATGGTGTCTTTAATTTTAAAGATTTTCTTAATTGAACTCTGGGTTTTAAAGATTAGTCTAAGAGAAATTTGTGGATAGAATTCATTGAAAAGCTTCTTAAGTTTATTTCTAAGGGTGAAACTGAGTGGGCCTGTGTACGGGATGGTGAAATAGATTGAATATTTAGGGACAGTGTGGATTTCAGGCTGTGTGGGACTAAAAAACCTATTAAGCGTTTTGCCAATATAAGTGTCTGTAAATCTCTTAGGGAAACCACTGTTAAAGAGTAGTTCATTTATGTATTTTAGTTCAATATCCAAGTGGAAATAGCTTGAACATATATTGAAGGCTCTGTTGGTAAGAGTAAGTACTAGATTACGTTTGTATTTAAGAGGAATAAAAGATGAAAGTTTTGAACTCAAACCAGTGAAAGTTGGTTTTCTGTATAAGGCTGTCTCGAAACTATTATGAAGACGGTGGATATTAACATCAAGGAATGGAAGAATTTTTCCTTTTCCAATTCACAAGTAAATTTGATGTTGCCATGTTTCGAATTTAAATAATTTAGGAACATAGGGACGTGATCAAGTGATCTGAAAATTAAGAAAGTGTCATCAACATACCGACGATAGAACAAAGGCTTAAATTGGGGGGACATTCGGTAAGCCAAAGCTTCTCGTGGTGACAGAGGAAAGCGTTGGCCAACGTGGGACCTAAAGGTGAACCCATAGCAACACCATCACATTGTTTATAAGCTTTGTTATTAAATAAATACAAACAATCATTTACAGCCAGTTTTAAAAATTCTTTAAATTATGGTCCATTGAATCCATCAATTATATCAGTATTTTAGAACAGTTCATCTGTACATATGTCAATAGTTTCGGCAAGAGGGATGTTGGTAAATAGAGACTGTATATCAAAGCTAGCCATAACACAATTGTTGAATGATATGCTAGTTAGCTCTTTAGCAAAACTAAAAGAGTCTTTAACAGAGTATTGATTAATGGTGATTGGTGACAATATGGGAACGAGGAATTTAGACAGATTATAGTTGAAGGTGCCAAGGGCAGACAATATAGGGCGTAAGGGACACTCATCCTTGTGTACCTTTGGTAGACCGTACAGGATACCTGGTTTAGATACGCTAACAAAGAGTTTTGAAGTTTATCGTAGGTAAATTTTCGTATAATATTATATTTTTATTGTATATCACCTGTATTTTTAAACTTTTTCAAAACTTTTTAGGCTCTGATGATGGAAAAGGATTATTTCCGAAACGTTAGCAATTAAACGAAGCCCTACTTCAAGATGTTTGTGTTTACCCTGATTCTCCTCTTCATTATATATATATATATATATATATATATATATATATATATATATATATATATATATATATATATATATATATATATATATATATATATCATGTAGATCCACAATGAAAACATGGATAAGGTAAATCTTGATAAAATCACACAGGAAAAAGGGAAACAATGGAGCACCTTAGCTTTCGTCTTTATTCAAGACATCTTCAGAAGCAACTGTTACTTCTGATCAGCTGTCAGCAAGTTGTACAGCTTCTCCTAGCTTTGCTGGCCTGCGTTCATTGATGAATATTCTCAAGTCTGGCTGTAGAGAAGACAGAAACTGGTCGAATGTCATAAAGTTAGTGAGAGACACCAAGGTTTTAATAACTTCTGACGTCTCTAGCCATTGTTGAAACAAACGACCCAGGTGGATTAAAAATTGCTGGTATGTTTCCCTGCCCTAATCTTTGTTAAACCCTCGCAAGAGAGCTTGCTTCAACAAAGGGTAATCTCTATTGATGTCGGCAGACAGGAGCATATAAATCTGTACCGGTTTCCCACTCAGTAGGCTACCCAACCTTTAAGCATAGCTATCTTTGTCCACACCAGGTAGCTCGGCTACTCGTTCAAACCTAACAAGGTAGGAGGCGATGTCTTCTCTTTCACGATAAACAGGCAAACTAGGTTCGAGCAGTAATCCTAGCTAGTTCTATGCCCTTCTCTGCCTGTAACTTGGCTAACTCTCTCTCTCTCTCTCTCTCTCTGTTGCGTTCCTCTCTCTCCCTCTCTCTGTTGCGTTCCTCTCTCTCTCTTGCGCGCTCCTCTCTCTCGGCAGTCTGTAGGATGATCACATACCGACCAACCTCAGCACCTGTCAGACCCAGGGCCACCGCTTGACCTTTCAACTCCTCAAAACTAGACATAATGATACAAAAGGCCAAGAGCCAAAGTGACAAATTAAACAACTTACCCCGAAACTTGCCAAAAATAGCTACTTAGTGGCTCAATCAAACCATTAAATGATTCAATCCGGCTGGAGGAAACCTTGTTTCTCACCCAGTCCAGTTAAATCACCTCAGGGAAAAGAACCGCACCAGGTGAATCAACAACAAAATGCTATGGCAGCATCCACAGTGCATCCCAACTAACACTAACTGACTTCCCTAGTACGATGAAGAGCAACAAAATAAGCACAACAGAAGGAAGGGATAAGCACCAAACAACACTTACTTCCAGGCCTCAGACAGCAAGCGGCGCTCACACGGCGACTTACAACAAACACCGGTAACGAATACTAACCCTCAGAAACCAAGGTTAGAGACTATCCTGGGAAGGTTGCCTAATCAGGGGTAACAAACAACTGTTAGAGATTGACATCTCTTTACTACGAAAATAATCACAATAATTTAACTCTGACACCACTCCCACAAACAATAAATAAACAGCACTGGAGTCAAACAATTACTTGAAACAAAACAATCAATACAACAAAGCACAGGTATTTAATACGGCTGCAGATGAATCTTCCTCCTAACCACCACGGTGGAATGTTCTGGTAACGCGGTGATCTGCTCTCAGGGGGAAGGTCCAGGGCAGCTTCCTCACTCGGCGCCGGCGTTGGTGGGCGATGTCTTGCCACACAGGAGAGACGCCAGGGCATGAACGGTGGATAGGGCGTGGAGGAAGTGGCGATCACGTGGCAGCCGCGGCAGTAGCTGCAATAGGTGACCAGAGTTGACAGCCGAATAGGATAGGACTGGGGAATCAGCCCACGAGCCCCACGAACCTCAGATGAGTACACAACCAGAGTGGAACCGAACAGCGGGGAAGTAGCAGCTGTGATGACGACTGGATAGTGTCTGGTGTGCGACGAGGCAGCAGCGACCTTCTCACCTCCGTCTATCCCTCTCGTGGGGCAGCGAACAAGCAAACGAGCGGCGGACAACCATCCCGTTCGTTACAGCCCTTACATATGACAGGGTACTGATGTTGGTAGGACACCTTGATCTTGTAATATTTGGATTGCTTCACTGTCGTTCTCATAAGCTCACTGAATAACAGCTACTGTGTAAATAAGGGAGAGAGCACCTATCGCACGCCATCATAAGCCTTCAAAATTCGAAATTACACTGTGGAAGGCTGCTTCAAAATGATTAGCCAGCCAAGTTACATGACACGATACTTGAAGGTCATTGGTTATCATGTAGAAAAGAGGAGGGGGAGGAGGAGAGGAGAGAAGTGATGGATGGCACAGAAATTTACGCCTAGAAATGAGAGAGCTACTCCGTTAATATTGATCTGCACAAAAAATTATATGAAGTCGTATGTTTGGTTTTAAAGTCTTTGTGTCTGTAATATTGAAAATTGGAAACCTGCCAATGGACGAATATTAACCTGTTCTTTTTTGTGCATTGTTAGAGATGGTTTACATCCTAGATTTCAGAGAATTTCTTTACATTTGCATTTGCTGCTATTATGCTGTTTTCTTAAACACAAAAATAATCTGATCACACAACGTTACTGGTTAACAAACCTTGTAATACCCTGCCAATATTCACTTACTTACACTGTCACTCTCAGTCCTCAGTAGTGCACAGTACAGTACACCTCAGTGCCTCCTCTTTCAGCAGTGCTACAACTCCTAGGCTCATTAATCAGACTTACATTCTGAAATAATAGCTTTGGTTAACAGACCAAAATCATGTTGATATTCCTTTGCTACCTCCAGCTGACGGTTGAAAATGACATTTAGTATAATTACATTGTGAGAATACACCCAAGGACACCATTCATTATATTATGCAATTTGAGTCAGGACTTTAAGAAATACTAATTTATAATAATCAACACTCATATTTACTGTACAATAGTACAGACATTAACACTGCATAGTCCTGTGACCCAACTAATTTATTAGGTTAGCTATCTTAATCTCACAATACAGCTCTTCCTCCATTCACAAAAGTATAACCAAATATTCACCCATAATGCTAGTGACAAAAATAATGCCAAAATAAATGATAAATAAAGGATGAAATAAGATTACAGTCACTTTCCTGGTTTCTCACCCATATGCTGTATTACTCCTAGAGGAAGAGAGCTCTTAAAACATTACATCTCTTACAATCAGAATGTTAACTCAAAACTTCTTTATATAAATGCATAATACTATATGATTACAAAATATTAGAAATTACATAGAACCAATATACTTCGCTCCCGATGCAAAAAATAATTAATTCATAGTTGCTTCATAGAAAACTGCTCTGGCAACGGTGACCGATACAAAATGAATATATTGTACAGCACACATCTTAATATTATGTAAACACACAGACATATGTAACACATGTAAGAATTCTGAAGCTTAGAGCAAATCTTGTAGAGATAATACATGTATAAGCTTTAATATGTGACATAACGGATCGTTGTTTTAACTTTTATTTCGTTTTAAAGTTAATGATAGCATATTTGTTTTGTAAATATCTTCTATTTGTATTGCAGGTGATCAATCACCTGCGGGCATCAAGGGGAGTTGGGGTATTCGAGGCAGCATCGAATGGACATGATAAGAACAAGACTCTCTTCCGATTGATGAGCGAGGCTCGGCGGGTAGGTCTAGAACTAGATGATATTATTGAGGTAGATAGCGTTCACTACCCTTATGTTCCTTACATATGCTGATGAGGTCATTCTTCCTAACTTCTTTTTGTTTCCACCTGACTGACGTCACCAGCTGCGCCAGATATCGCTGTGTGTGACAGTGGCGGTGGTGAGCGACGACTCAGCCTTTCTCGCCGCCTTCGCTGAGTGGTCCCTCAAGGGCCGCCTCCTGCAGTGGTCGACGAGGCTCCTCGCCGTCACTCGCCTGCCTCTCTCTGATCTCCACCACCTACACGAATTTTTCTCCATAAATAATGCCATGTTGCTCATCATGGAGAACAACTTCGGAAAACTAAAGTAGTCACCTAAGAATATAATGACATACGAATATATATATAAGGATTAAACATTAAATAACAAGAACATAATAATGTAATATAACAAAAGCTTTTAGTCGGTATTATAAAAAAAAATCAACTATTATAGATGCGGAGTGTACGTTCATATGCCGTACAGACATAAACCTCCAGTGATACGGGTCGCTTCCTGGACTCCCGAAAAACATTTAAAAATCAGTGGTTACATCCCACTTTTTCCAGAAAAATTTTACAAGCAAGTATTTACAATATTATTACAATTAAGTTATTTTTCTAATCATAAACATTCGGCTTCAATTACAACATATTATGACCTCTCTATCGTCGTTCTGAATACAAAATACAGTTCTTTATATTTAGAGTTTATTTGTACTTATTTCATCTGATTGTCAATAAATTTATATCAAGATAATATGCGCGCGCACACACACACACACACTTATTAACGGAAACACGGGTCAAAGTGCTCTTGCTCGGCCAACTGTTCAGATAGCTGTCATTCTAAATCTAACCTCAATAAATGTCATAAAATATCTGCACAGCATTATGCTCATTCTTTTATGACTGTAATTGCCATGCTATGGGTCCTCTGGGAGAATGTTTCCAGTGTCTTTAATGTATAGGAACATACTGTCTCGATAAAAAACTTGAAACACAGGAAACAAGTCCACTTCATTATTTTGTTGTGTATGGTCCGGTAAACAGGAATAGTCATTGTTTTTGCCAAGTAGAGATAACTTTTTTTATTCCTACAACAAAATGGAAATTAATTCCAACTTAGTAACATTTGCTCTGCTTCATTTAAGGCGTCGTTTACCACCAAAAGATAACCAAATAATATAATAGATTAGGTTAGGTTAGGTTAGGCAATTATCAGTATTTAGCGCTTCAACAAGCAAGTACAGTATGTATTAGACAAGAATCAGAAGATAAATCCTTAGTTCTACTTCAAATACCTACAGTAGCTACGTAAGTTTTGATAACGTTCTATGTGTAGTAATACATTGTTGATTAAACATTTAGAATTATTTCTGAATTATTCTCAAAGACCCTTCAGCTACAGTATTTCAACCACATTAGTTTAAAGTATACACCTGTGTTAACTACACCTGTGTTAACTCTGTTATGTTGTTCAACAAAACAGGATGGCTTGTTCTCACAGGTTTCCTCATCTACCGTCCTTTGAAGTGGCGATGGACGAGCGTTTACTAACTAGAGCTTTTATGAAGGATGATGAAACCGCGCCGGGAGGAAAGCGTCTCTGGTTTAAGGGTCCCTCTGTAGACTTATTGGATTATCTTGCCAAAGCTTTCAATTTCACGTAAGTGTATCACCATAATTTGTAATATGTTGAACTGTCTTAGTTGTACTAATGGGTACCAAAATATAGTAGTATAATCAGACGAGGGTAATAACTGCAGTGCGTCACACAGATGGGCAGGGATATTCTTCTGATTTAATTTATTTAGTAAAACCTGTTTATTTCATTTAGAACTAATTATTAACAATAATATCGTCTTGATAATTCATTTAATTGGTTTGGAAAAATTCACACACAATGTTTACTTGACTAAGAGGTATTTCCTTAAATAATAGATTCCTGTTAGAGACAGCCACTGAAAAATAAATATATTGTATAGTATTATTATTTCTCCGTCAGATACACATTCGTCAAACCCTCTGATGGTAGTACTGGCAGCAAGAAGACTGATGGATCCTGGTCTGGTATAGTGGGTATGGTGATGAGAGGGGTAAGTATTGTGTTATAGAAATAAAAAGCGGAAGGCATCAGTATTATCAATGTATATTTTCAAGAACACTGTACATTTTATGATATTCTAGTCAAAACATAAGTTAAGCGAGAGTAACAAGCATAAAATAGACATAAGCCAATTCTTCCTAGTACTGTACTAACGAAGCATTACATAACTGATTATAGGTATAGATGAGGTAGACGAGGATAATCTGGTTAAATAAAACCAGGTAAACTTTATTGATTTATTTGAATGTAAATTCAAAATAAATGTGTAGTTACACTCATAATAAGGAATTATTTATATCTGTAAAAGATCACAATGAGTATTGCATTATCTGTAAAAATTTATTGTCGTGCTTTCCTTTGCCATAATCTGTAATATATAAAATAATTAATAATTCTATTAATTTGCATCCGTAACCTCAAGAATTTTGCTTTATTATATCCAGGAGACGCACTTCGCTGTCGGCCCTTTCAGTGTGACTGCCAGCAGGTCTCAGGTGGTAGACCTTACGACGCCAATAAGTATGAGCTCCCTAAAATTTCTGGGAGGACTAGGGCGGTCGGAAGTGAATCCGTGGAGCTTCTTGCTTCCCTATACTTCGCTGGTGTGGGCAACTATCCTGGCAACGCTGCTAGTCTTGCTGGTGACAACATTTATTTTTTCATTGTATTTCTTCATTGGAAATTCCAGCAAAGTAAACAGGATGAACAGCACCTTCAACCTGATCCAAGTATTGCTTCAACAAGGTAAATAGGAATAGAGCAACATCAATCCATTCTTTTGAGATACTAGTTGTCGCTTGAAGAGTTTATTTTTCAATAGCTATCACAAGACAATTTGCCTTATAACATCTGTCACATATCAATGCGAAGGAAACACCTATTCAATTTCCCAGAGTCTCACCTTAAAGAATCAAACTGTAAACGGGAATAAATATATGTAACATCTCTTGGCATATATGGGTTAATATGTCTCATTAGTACATATAAGTGTTAAACCAGGGAAAAGAGGTAGGTAGCCTTTCCTTTCAGTCCCTTCAGGTTCCCCGACTATTATGATATTTTGTTTAATTGGATAAAAGAGAACTGGTACGCCAGCTGTGTACGAGCCAGCTTATGTCGGGACAGCCCATCTCACATTTTCACCCGTGATCTATGACCTAACAACTTGGAATCGATCATTTATTTGTAAATTGACAAAACATAGAGGTACTACCGCCTGGGAAGATATTGGAAGCATAATGTGTTGTCTAATGGTAGACCCTGCTGCCATATGGCATCACGAAATTGTGACCAAGTCCCAGGTTGCTCATCTGACTTTCTGCCTCATTTATACCCAATTGCAGGGTCTCAATTGTTTCTCTTACTATGACAACACAACATACATATATTGTTTCTGACTATTAATATTTTTTTTAATTTTTGTATTATTATTATTATTATTATTATTATTATTATTATTATTATTAATATTATTATTAATATTATTATTAATATTATTATTAATATTATTAATATTATTATTATTATTATTATTATTATTATTATTATTATTAATATTATTATTATTATTATTATTATTAATATTATATTTTCGCCCCAGGCCCTGATGTTGGTCATTGACCTGTGCCCAGGTGGGCTAATTCCTGAAAAAAAAAATATATATATATATATATATATATATATATATATATATATATATATATATATATATATATATATATATATATATATATATATATATATATATATATATATATATAAATATATATATATTATATATATATATATTGTTAACGCTCATAGGAGCGTTATTGGTTTGTTGCTGGAGAAATAAACCCTCAACGTTGACGCGTACCATATAATTCGGTCAAAACCTGTTAAAGAACAATTCACATATAACAAATGCTGTTATCTCAGGACACATAGAATGAATAATACAATCAATATACAGTTCATAGCCTGTTAACATCTTAAGTATAACTCACATGTTACATCTGTTGATACAGCAGGAGACAAGGTGTATAATATGATCAAATTACAGTACATAAATATACTTATTAAAGTTATTTAGTGTTTATATTTACGTTTTAGGGTCTTGGGTTCGACAAGCGTGTTGCTTCTTCTGCAAGAATTGGTAGACTACTGAGCAATCGCCATCCAATCGCAGCCCTAGGCGAGGGCATCTGTTTATATTAGACACGACCAACAAACACGTTGTCAGCACTGCCCCCCCCCTTCTCACCCTCTCTCTCTCTCTCTCTCTCATGTTTATCTTACTGTGGCGGTAACATCTCAACCTCTCTCTCTCTCTCTCTCTCTCTCTCTCATGTTTATTTTACTGTGGCGGTATTGATAATCTCTTCTACGGCGCAGAACATAGTGCTGAGGCGTTCATCGTCTAGTGTCTGGGTGCCCACCACTCCCTGGAGGACCTTCCTTACATTGCGGATTTGTTGCTCCCACACTCCTCCCATGTGAGGGGCTGTCCGGGGTTTGAACTGCCATTCTATTTGTTTCTGTAGGAGGGCATTCCTGACCTTGTTACTGTTGTTCCTGGCAGTAGTATGGGATTCTCCTGGTCTGGGTGGAGAGCGGCGTGTTTCAGTCGGCCACCTACTCTGATCAGACCGTCAGTGTCTAGATGAGGTTCCAGCCGCCTTATTTCGCTATCTCTCACGGGTTGTCCCTGTTGTAACATTCCTAGTTCTCGAGGGAATCCGTTCCTTTGCATCAGTCTTAAGACGGCTAATTTCGCCTCTTCCAATTCGCTGACCTGGAGCCGATTTTCTCGGTGATGTTTGTTCTTTCGCTTCCCAAGCCGCCATTCTATAAACCTTCTAATCCACGCTACACTCTTCAGAAGTCGATGCCACGATGAGTACCTGGCCCATAGCTAATCGAGGATACCCTCCCCCTGGTCAACGTTCGCCGTCAGCACCGTGGTTTCCTTCTTCACCTCTGGGTCTCCGTCTCTGAGGTCTGGAATCCTCAATGGACTCTTTGGCCAACTGTCTTCTTCCAACAAGAGGAAAGCAGGTCCTCGAATCCACCTGCCTTCCTCATTGAGCTCTGCTCTATGTAATCCATGACTAGCGTCGTCGGCCGGGTTCAGTGCCGACGTCACGTGGCGCCATTGTTCTACCTTGGAGTCCTCATGCATCGTTGCCAATCGATTGGTCACGAAGGAATGGAAGCGTCATTCTGTGTTTCGTATGTATTGAAGGACTGCCGTACTGTCTGTCCGGAACACTGTTCTGTCTATTTGTAATTCAAGTTCTCGTTGTAGTCGTTTGCCTGCCTTGGCAGCCAGTACTGTCGCGCAGAGCTCGAGTCGAGGTATGGTCTGCTGTTTCAGAGGGGATAGCTTGGCCTTGCCACACACGAAGGAGATTCGTTATTCAACCCAATGCCTCGTCTACACTCATCTTGGGATATATATATATATATATATATATATATATATATATATATATATATATATATATATATATATATATATATATATATATATATATATATATATAATATTGGCTCTTGTGACGCTCGGAGCGATGAGTCCCAGTGGGTCATATATGGAGCTGACCATACTCAGAAGATTTCGTTTCGTCTCTAGTTTCTTAGGGATCTGGACCCGGACCTCTAGTTCGTCCTTTTCCAGGTCCCACAATATTCCCAAAGCTCGTTCATTGGGGAGCCTGTCGTCTTTCAAATGACTTCCTTTATTCCCATGGCTTTCTCTGTCTGTGGAATTGCTTTGAGGACTTCCCTGTGATTACAGACCCCCTTCGTAAGACCGAATCTGCCCTTCCTTTTCAGCTGTCTCGGTCAATGGGTAATTATCGCTGCCTTCCCCGGCGAATCTATTGAGAGAAGCAGGTCGTCAATGTAGAAGTTACAATTCGCTTTCTTGATGTCGTCATGGAGACTTTCCCTGCAATCTTGGAATGTTCGTTGTAGCGCATATCCGTTGCATGAAGGGCTACACATACCTTCAAAGAGATGTACTGTCGTTTAGTAAGTGGCGGGGCCCCTGGCGGCTGGTCGTCCGTCCACCATAAGAATCGTAAGGCGTCTCGATGTTCGGTACTACTCTCACTTAATGGAACATTACCTCGATATCAGCCGGGAATGCCACCTTTCCTTGTCTGAATCTGATGAGGACTCCCATCAAATTTGCTGTTAAGGTCTGGCCCTTGCATCACCTGGCTGTTCAATGAAATCAACTCACATTTGGCTGTACAATCAAATTATTTTCACCTTTTCTGGCTTGTTGGGATTCAACACGGGGTGGTGTGAGAGATACTAAGTCTTCCCGGGTGTAACACTGAGTTCGTGATGCGGCATGTCCCTCGTCGACTAGACGTCTCATCTCTTCTTGATACCTCTGAGAGAGCCTTGGGTTCTTTAGGAGGCATATTCGGACCCGCCAATCGCTGTTCGGCAAGCTTCTTATTGTATGAGAGTTCCAGTTCTTCCTGGTGAAACAACAATGACCTTGGGGATAGTGATGGATCGGCTCTTTCCTTCTCCTACGCTAACCACTTTTACACTGATCTCTTCGGCGTTTACACTACTTCTTTCTTTCATGATTGTGCCAATGGAGAGGGAAAAACTGGCATTCCCTCTGTTTGCAGCCTTGGTACTGCTCGTCAGAAGCTCCCGTGAAGTGTAGAAGCCTCGAGTGTACTCCAGAGCAGCCACCTATACCACACACCATCTCCTAGCTGCACTCCGTTATCCGGTGATTATGACCCAGGCTGGCGAAGTAGCGACATTCTTCCCGTACGAGGGAAGTTCACTTCCCTGTGGACATGCTGAGGAATGTCCGACACATCTGAAGGTGATCTCCGTGGCATAACGAGCAGCGTTCATCGTCCGTTTCTCTGGTTGTCTTCATTCTTGCTGTCACCAGACCCACAAGTTTTTTCCTCGACGAGGATTGGCATGAGGATGAGTCTGCATATATTCAGCTTGGCTCCTCCAGTCCTTGTCAACCATATCCATAGTGAATTCCAACATCCACTCGATTCCAGGAGGTTTCCCTTGCTGCCCTTTGTATTTATGAACGTTATTCACATAGTCGTCACTTATGGTCCTTCATCAACGTTAGTGGTTTCGGCGAGCGAGTTCGATGCTCGGAAGTATGGTGCTGCATCGGCCTGTGTTCAGTGGCTATGGGTTCCTGAGTGTCAATGCTTCCGGGAAGTGGGTATGACGGGTGGAAACACGTTCCCTCTCCCTCGAATGGGATGTTCCCGTCCCTGAAGCGCTGAGTGTTGGGAACCCTCCTTGGGTGGGTGTCGAGGTGTAGCAGCTAGACACTCCTGATTCCAGCGGTTGACAACGTGTGTCTCGCGCATACCTCGTTGTGGCTGTCATCCCTTCACTCGTTTCCAGAAAGGGTTTTCTTCATGGTAATGACAGCATCTCACCAAAGTCCTCTGTATCCCCTAAAGTCTGAAGTTGCTCCATATGATCTTTCATATTCTGCATCATTGCCGTCAATTGGGTGAGCGTCAGCTGTTAATCCCCCGATTACCCTGGCTGTGTGAGTGACCGGTTAGCATTTCGGTCGTTCAGGGCCTCCAGGTCTTCTATGCTGGTTAGGCTGGTCTCCTCTGCTTTGTTTCCTTCCATGACTGGTGACACAGTGGACAGCTATAGAGACGTTCGGTTAAGCGAACGCTCTTCAACTGACGCGTCTGCTTGTTTATAAAGATGTCATATAACTGAGGTTATACAAA